GAGTGGATACATTGTAGCTAAAGGAACGGATACGTTGTAGCTGAAGGAGTGGGTATGTTGTTGCTGACGGAATGGGCATGTTGTAGCTAAAGGAGTGGATACACACAGCATGCTCGGGCACACATCTGCCGTGTGTGCTGTGTGCGTGACACACGCCAGCACTGGCTGGCATTCTGTATCTGAAAGCTCATCCCGTGCGAGAGCCTGCTGCCCAGCATTCTAAATAGAAAACCTCAGTGAGCACAAGGGCTGTGCCCACCATCCAAATGGCATGTCAGACATCGCCTGCTCTGGCTTCTTCGAGCCCGCTGGGAGTATCGCCCGCCCTTTGTTCTAGGGTGCTGTTCAGAAGCCCTCCCAGGGATAAGGTCCTGACTGCACATTCTCGGGGTGCATTCACATGTAGGTCCCGCTAGCTGGAAGTGCCTTAGTCTAATGGAGCTGGGTCGTAATACCCCAATCGACCCGCAGGGGGTGCTGTCAACGAATGGCTCAGCCCAGCGGATATTTGTGCTCCGCTGGCTCTGGGTTCTCCAAATGGATGGTTTGCATGCGGTATGCAGCCAGTCGAGAATCCTGGGTTTGCTGAGGTGGCCAGGGATGGTGAGAGGAAGGTGCTTGCCACCACGGACGCTCTGACTTCATTACCTGGGCAAGCAGACTCCTTCTAGAACCCCCGAAGACACACTTTCTCTGCTTGTGGGCAGAGGGCAGCCTACCAGGCGGAAGAATCTACAGACCTCTCAGCTTCAGATGAAGCAGCAGGGCTTTGGGGAGTCTGCCCTGCCCCCCACCCGCATACTCCAGCAGGGCCTGGGCAGGCTGGGCAGGGCCTGGGCAGGGTGGCACCCCTTCCGGGTTCATCCTGTGGGCACCTTTGAGGTGTCTCCAACCTGGGAAGTCCTGGGTTGGCGGGTGGGGGGGGGGCGGTATGTCCTCAATGCCCCATGTCACAATCAGGGAAACAGAGGCTGGGGATGGGGGGCAGGATGGGGCCTGTGCCATGCCTTGATCCGGAGTCTGAGCTGGAACAGGCCCGGCTCTGGAGTGCAGTCCCAGGTTGGGGTCCTACCCGCGGAGGCGGTGCGGCAGAGTGCCCGGAACACAAGGTCATGAAAGGGCCTCCGTGTTGGCTTTGCTGTTGCCCCACGATCCTTTGCTGAGCCATCAGGGGTGGGCTGCAGGCCCCACTCATGCCGGCTTCATGGATGACGAGCATTTTTGTTTGCTGTGTGTCAGTAGCTCAGGCTCGCTCAGGCTCCGGCGTGCACTGCTGCGGCTGCACACTCGGTGGGCCGGTGGAGTGTCGGCAACGATGCGTGCATGCGTGTGTGCATGTGCCGAGACTCCGGCGTCTGGAACCAACCTGTGATGTCAGCCTGCTCTCTTGCCCGCTGAGGGTAGGGGAGATCTTGGTGTCTTGGAGTGGATGCGGGCTCATTATCAGCCGTGGACTCGTTATCAATGTCCAATCCTATAGGACAGGGCTCATACAACTCTCATCACATGAGGCTAACCCTTCAGGGGAGGCTTCAGAAAGCCCGCCTTTCTCCCTCGCCAGGGAGGCTGCAGGACGGGCCTTGAAAAGCTGCCTGCTACCAGTATTCTGACTCCCGGGCCTGCTGTGCACCGAGGGGTTGGGGGTGAGGGGACAGGGCTGGTGTTTGTGGAAGTTGATCACCAGGCCTTTCTTCCCAGGCACCTTGAGTGGCCTTGAGACCCCACCTCTGTGGTCAGTGGGGTCGTGGGGCCATCAGGTGGCCCCCAAGCCCAGCTTCCTCCTCTACAGACAGGAGGTGCCCCAGGCCACCAGTAAAGTGCTCCCCAAACTGTCACAAAGCCTGGGGCTCTGGCCCCTGCTGGG